TCATCTCCTTGCTGTTTTTTTTTTTCCCGATTGGGTCCACTTTCTTATGTACATAATGTATTTAAAAGACAAATAGGGACTTGGTATCAGGGGCCGTAAGAGAGAATAATCCACGAAGTGACACCCAGTCACCAGTTACTTCCTGGCTGGGACACCGACTGCCGAACAAGGACAGTCTCGGGTGCAGGGTGGCAGGCAGCACAAGGAGCCTTTCTCCCGCCCCCAGAAGGCTGCGCTCGGCGCGTGCGAGGCGCAAGGCTGCGCGGCCGGGCAGGAACGGGGGCGAGGATGGCTGAAGGGGAGCAGAGGGGGCGCCCTCGGGCGCGCGCCGGCGCCTGGCACAGCTGCCGGGCTGAGGCAGCTCATTGTCTGGCCGGACACCCGGGCATGCTGTCCTGTTTCCTGAACGGGCCCCACTGCCCTCCTCCCCCGCCGGGTTAACTGAGGACTGCGGGGCAGTGAGGGGGGGGGCGTCCTCCTGGCTCAGCCTGATGCCTCCACCCTCCGATCGGATTCCAGTGTCCCCAGCTCACCGTCCCCAGGGTCCCTGGAACCTGCACAGTCTCTTGGCCTCACAGACACTCTGAGCAGAGGCTGCAAAGGGGTAGGGGCTCCTGAGGCCCCAGGGCCAGACTCTGGCCCCTCTGAGCCCAGGTTTTCCTAAGCGTGAAGCAGGGAAACAGCTTCCGACTTGCCCCTGCCTCACTGTGACATGTGAACAGTTTATCTTGGTTGCCTCTGGAAACAGGGAGCTCCCTATTTCGAGTACCCCGGGGATGGGGGTGGAAAGACAGGCCGGGGGTCCCTTGAGGTTGGGGCTCCTGGCCTGAGAGCGCCTGCCCACCACCCGTGGCCTTGCAGAACCACTCGTGGAGCGAGCTGTACTCCTTCGCACTGTTCAAGGCCATGAGCCACATGCTGTGCATCGGGTACGGGCGGCAGGCTCCCGAGAGTATGACGGACATCTGGCTGACGATGCTGAGCATGATCGTGGGCGCCACCTGCTACGCCATGTTCATCGGCCATGCCACCGCCCTCATCCAGTCGCTGGACTCCTCGAGGCGCCAGTACCAGGAGAAGGTCTGGGGGCCCACCCGACCATCTCCCCCAGCTTCAGGTGGGGGGTGGGGATCCTAGAGGGGTCTGTGGCCATGGTTCCGAGAGGAAGCTCCTCAGGCAGAGGGAGCAGCTCTCAGATAGGCCAAAGAGAGGGACAGGAGCCAGGGGACCCGAACAGGGCAAGGCCAGTTCATGGGGTGTCAGGAAGCTCCCTGGGTGTTATGGGTGCTGCGGGACCTCTCTAGGAGACAGGGTACATGTGGGGTCTCTGGGCCAGCTCAGGAGGGGGTTGGGGCAGGGGAGGCACTGACCAGAGTCCAAGAGGTCTGGGGTCACTCAAGGACATGTGGGTCAGCCAGGCCTACGAGGGAGGCCTCAGGGGAGCAAGGATGTTCAGCCACATGGACCCGGCCATGGGTGGGGGGAGCCCACACAGGGCTCATCCGAGGGCCGGGGACCTGGAAGGGCTGAAGCAGAGCAGGCGCTGGCCACACCAGCCGGCCCCTTCTGGAGCGTAGCCTTGACGTCCACTCTGTGCCTCGGTTTCCCTCCCTGAGGCCAAGGGTGAGCCCGCCCCCCAGCCCCATGCTGCCCCTGTTCACATTGTGCCACAAACACCCCCACCGATGCCGGTCCGGTCGGCCGGGTCAGCTGGGCCCCATGCCAGGAGTTCCTGCTGTCCGGAAGCCACGGGCCTCACACCCAAACATGAGCTGGTGCCGCCACCCGCCTGCCGTCACGGGTTCTGCTGAGCTCAGGGCAGCTGTGGCCGGGCGGAGCTGGGGCGGAAGCAGGGCTGGGGCGCCCGTGGGGTGCCATCATGGGGACGGCAGGACCTGGCACCCCTGCCGGGGGCCCACCCTCCCTGCCCTGCTCAGGAGGGGCTGAGCAGGTGGTTTATAGAAAAGTCCTGGGAGAGGGGTGCCAGGGCCACAGGCAGAGTTGGGGGCCTCTGAGACCCGGGTCCAGCATGGGGGTGTCCTGATCCTGGGGTCTAGCCGGCCATCTAGCTCCCAGGGGCGGGGTTGCCAGATCAGTTCAGGACTCCAGGACTAGCTGAGGTTAGTGTGGGCTGGTCCCCAACTCTGCAGGCATCCACCGGGCCTGAGCGTTGCGGTCTGAACGTCAGCTGTGCTGCGCGTCTGTGTGTGCGGTGCGCGGGGTCACCCCGCAGCCCCGCGACTGACGGGCCCCTCCCCCCACAGTATAAGCAGGTGGAGCAGTACATGTCCTTCCACAAGCTGCCCGCCGACTTCCGCCAGAAGATCCACGACTACTACGAGCACCGCTACCAGGGCAAGATGTTCGACGAGGACAGCATCCTGGGCGAGCTGAACGGGCCCCTGCGCGAGGTGAGGGCGGGCGCGGCGCGCGAAAAAAAACGCGCACGCCGCCTGGCGCCCGGCGGGTCCCACTGGCCCCGTTTGGGGACTGTGTCAGACAAGGGCCGCGGGCGGAAGAGAGGCAGCCGGAAGCAGGCCTGGTGTGGCCGGCAGTCTTCGGTGTCCCTGGGCTTGGAGATGTCTCACCCTCACCTCTGCCTCCATCTTCCCATGGCCTCTCCCTGTGCGTGTGTCCCTCTTCTTAGTGGCACCTGTCCTTAGATTTAGGACTCACCTACTCCAGTGTGACCTCATCTTAACTAAGGACACCTGCCAAGACTATTTCAACATAAGGGCCCACTCTGGGAGCCCCGGGGGTTGGGACTTCAATACATTTTGGGAAATGAGT